TCCCTGAGCCCAGTGACTATTCAGCCAGTCCACCACAATCCTCATATTGAGAGCTCTTTGTTATTGGCCTCAGATGCCATACACCAAAAACATGTGGTTCTTCAAGATAAGATAACAGTCCTCATGCTGCTCTCACTTCCACCAGTATAAATCAGGAACTATTTCATAGAAGTCAGTGCAATTACAGAGGCAAAAATTATCTAAAAACTGACTTGGGCCTAACATTAGTAGCTTTAGTTGTAGGCCTGAATCAAAGGAAGGCATCCAAAATTTGGCTGTCAACATAGAGGCCACCAAAATGACTGAACACTGCTGAAAGTATAGGCTTAAAGGCTTGTGTTTACAGCAAGACATGGCCAAGCCTAGGATTCGAACGCAGATCACTTTGGCTCCTAGACACGTGTCAATTCGGGGGTGGCACGTGCCGTGGTGTGGGGAGTGACCACAGCAGGGGTAGCACCGACCAGCTGCGGCCGTGCAGCGCAGGGAGTATCCATGGTGTGGAGGAGAGGGGAACGCCCGCTGGCTGTGGCCACATGGTGTGGGCAGCAGCCCTGGGGTATCCGGTGGGGGTGTGGCGTGTGGCCACAGGGCATGGTGTGGGGAGCGGCCACAGGCTGTGCCCGCGTGGCACGGGGAGCAGCCCTGGAGCGTGGTGCAGGACTCATAGGGGGTGTGGCACATGGCTGCACTGGGGAGTGTGGTGTGCGACCATGAGGCATGGAGTGGGAAACGGCCACGGCACGGGGGCACAGGGAATGCCTACTGGCATTTTGCTAGTATTAATTTAAAGTGGATACTGCACAAAACATCCATTGAAACATGACACCTCTTTTTAAGAAGCAGAAGCATTAGGGCTGGGATTGGGGCCACACACTTCACACTTTATTGAGGGCACCAGCAAGATGCGCTTCCCAGGGGAAGGCTGCAGCGAGGGAAGATCTGCTCTGATCAGGTGTAAGCCCTCACCATGCTAGTGGGAAATGGCATGACACATGGCAAGTGCATATGCAGGTTAAGAAATCACTGTAAAGTGCAGACAAAGGACTCGCCATTTTGCTTTTCAAATTCCTTTTCATTTAATAAAGTGATTTAGAATATGGAACGATGGCAGGGCACTGGCATTGCCTCGATGGGCTGCGTGTTGTGCACCCCTGGCTGAGGCTGTGAAAGGTACTTTGGTGCCTGCAGTAATGGAATATATTGAAGGGTCTCTGCCTGATACTGTAGTTTAATGAATTGATGGGTGTGCCTACTGTGCTGCTTCTCCCCCCCACCCCGTGCTCTGTGGCCACAGCTGATGGGCAATCCATGCATGGGGGGCATGGTTTGCAGCCATGCGTGGGGCTCTGTGCGGCTGTGCACCATGCCCCCGCCTTACACCTAGCGCACCCTGCAGCTGCAGCTGGCAGTCAGTCCTGCAGCAGTGGGGGGTGCAGCCACAGCGTGCTGCATGAGGGAGTGGGTGCAGGGGGTGTGCTGCACCCTGCAGATGCATGCTGCAGCTGGTGGGTGCTCCTTGCGCCTGTCCCCCACCCCCTTGTGCGCCCTGTGCACCCCATGCCCCACAGATGCAGCTGGCAGGTGATCCCCTGTGGGAGCTTTGCACACCAGGGGCTAGGGGCATGGCCTCAGGGTGCCACGTGGGGAATCGGTTTGAGGCATGTGCCCCACCCTGCGGCCATGTGGTACAGCCAGTGGGCTCTGCCTATGTACCCCATGCCCATTCCCTTTGTGGCACCCTGCGGCCATGTGCCGGGCCCCCCGTGCCACTTGCCACACCCCTACATGGCCGCGGAAGGCCCCCTGCAGGACCGCAAGCCACGCCCCCTCTCCTATCATCTCCCCTCCCCCACTGGGACATGGGGCACACCCTGGCCCCCACGCCTCTGCCTCCACCTGTCTGCCCATTTGTCCAGGCCATACAGGTGCAGTTGGTCCAGAGCATTATGGACAGACAGACACACAGCTGCCACAGCTTTTATTATATTAGAATTTTACTAGGGACATCACCAGGGATGACTATACTGCAGTCGCTTGGGGATGCAGGGAGGCAGTCAGGAAGGCCAAGGCAGAGATGGAATTAGGACTAGCTTCCCAGATTAAAGACACGAAGAAGTCCTTCTTTAAATACATAGGGGGTAAAAAGAAGGTTCTGGGTAATGTAGGGCCCCTGCAGGACGCGTTGGGAAATTTGGTCGTCACACCAG